ATGCTCTCATGGTTAGATTAATCATTATAGTTTATTTAATTCATATATATAATTCTGTGAAATCCCACAGCACTTATAGAGTATACAGTATAGCATATACTGTATGTTATTCATTTTACCCCTTACTGCCAAACATCTTACAATCTAATGCCGATACCATTTTTTCCAGACCAAGTACGAGTACCAATATTTTTTCTCAAGTACTCGCCTATACCAATTACCAATACCTTTTTTTTTGGTGCCATGTGACAGTTTTTCTAAACCAGTACAGACTAATGATTTTAGGACAGTGGTGCAGCTGCCACTTCTGCGACCCTGGTAGTTCTGCCACTGACTTCAAGCTGTAGAGGAACTACAAAATCTCAGCAATACATTATACAGCAATGCAGAATACCCCCAGCTATAGAGGACTACAAATCTCAGCAATGCATTATACAAAAATGCAGAATACCATCAGCTATAAATGACAATACACGGCAATACATTATACAGCAATGCAGAATAATACCATCAGCTATAGAGTACTACAGATTCCAGCAATACACTATACACGAAAGCAGAATGTCACTGGCTAAAGAAAACTACAAATCTCAGCAATACATTATACAGCAATGGAGAATAATACCATCAGCCATAAAGGACTACAAATCCCAGCAATACATTATACAGCAATGCAGAACACCATCATCTATAGAGTACAAAACATCCCAGCAATATATTATACAGTAATGCGTGGATGCAGATGCGGAGGGTCTCAGCAGTGGCAGATGTGAAGTGTCTCGGCAGGGGCACATGTGGAGGGTCTCAGCAGGGGCAGAGGTGGAGGGTCTCAACAGGGGCAGAGGTGGAGGGTCTCAACAGGGGCAGATGTGGAGGGTCTCAGCAGGAGCAGATGTGGAGGGCTCAGGAGGGGTAAATATGCGGGCTGGCAATGAAAGCGGGCAACGTGTGGTTCCCCAGTAGGCTGACACAAGGTCTCCAGCAAGCACCGGACCTCATGCAGTCAAATAAATTTAAAAATGTAAAGTCACGGTATTTGTTTTTAGTATTGGGGCATTTTCACAAGTACGAGTATGGTGAATCCCTACTACTTACATAAACATTTGCCCATGTTTTATCTCTTCCCGACCGATGACGGGATTATTCCATCATGATCTATCAGTTCATTAAAGACCAGTGACGGAATAATCATGTCAAGCGGTAAAATGAGTGCCGGCCTGTTTTCTATTGGCCGGTGGTTCTGCTGCCGTCAAAAAAAAAACAAAAAAAAACAAACCATTTTTGCCATAGGAATGCATTGCTAGATTCCTATTGTCTATTTCAATTTGCAATAAGCAATAGCAAACTATTGCACACGCCCTCTGCTGCTGTCAATCACTAGTGGGGACCTGATGGAGAACTGCAAGTCTCCTCTGCTGATTGACAGCAGCAGTGGGCGGGTGCAATAGCCAGTTTGCTATTGGCTATTGCAAATTGAAATAGCCAATAGGAATCTAGCAATGCATTCCTATGGTGAAATTATTATTTTTTTTTTTATTCGGACGCCAGCTCCATGTCAGAATTAAAGAAAAAAAAAAAAACAGTGTTTTTCTCCTGGGCTGCTGGGAGCGGGAGACTCCCGGAGCGCCCGAGAGAGTTGGGTTGTCTGGAGATCAGTTGCCCTGGTTCTCTGCAAGTGGACGGAGCCAGCCGTAAGATCACGGCTGGCTCCGCCCAGCTGTCAGAAGCAGGCTGTCGGGCCGGCCGCTCGGCAAGCTTCGGCTTTCACCTCGGCTCAGTCGAGCCGAAGCATAAGCCTTCGGCCAGACTGAGCCGCTCGGCCGACTTCGGGAGCTGTAGGGCTATAGTGAATAAGCCCGTACAGCAGGCCTTCGGTTCTACTGAACCGAAGGGGTCATGGGGCCGAAGCTAGCCGAAGGATCACCTGATGCTACGGCTAGATCCTTCGGCTGCTTCGTGAATAGACCCCTAAGTATCTAAGCCACTATAAATAAATATGTAACCCTTTAGTGCCCCTATTTTAAAAAAGTTTTTAACATTTTAAAAAAAGTTAAAAAGCTCAAAAAAGTTTAAAAAAATAAGTTTCATAAAAAGATTATAGAAAAAAAGAAAATATAGTGCAGAGGAGGCTATTAAAGGAAAACTATGAGGTGAGTGCTTTTCACTCACCTCATAGTTCTAGCCGACCTGTGACAATGAGACTGTCACAGGTCGGCTCAGTAGATCAACACATACCGACGTTCGCTCACCTCTCTTTTGGACCCCCAGCATCACCTTAAAGAGTACCTGTCACCACCATCTGCTTACTCATATTTTATATTTCATTTACAAAATGGGTATTTTGTTGTGTTTTGGGGCATTTAATTAAATTTATCCCTAAATTTTGGGGTTTAATAAGGAGTTGCGCTAATATTGCGCAACATAAAAATTTGCAACTACCACCATTATATTGTATAGGGTCTTGGCATTCAGAAAATATATAATGTGTGGGGGTTTTAAGTAATTTTCAGGCCTAAAATGTGGAATATAACATGGGTGCAAAAAAAGGCCTCAGTCATGAAGGGGCTAAGGATGGGAGACAAACACGCCACATTCTAAAATTGTTCCACACTAAAACTGTATTTTACTCCTTGTATTTTGACCTATAACTCCCAAAATAAACTGAAATCCCAAACATATGATATACCCTATAAATCAGGACAAAGTAAAGAATTTATTCTGAATTACTTTCTGTTAGCTACACATTATTATTGCCAAAACTGTGAAAAATTAGTTTTTTTAAACTTTTTTGCATTATTTTCAATTTTTTTTTAAATAAAAAATTATATATGGATATGTCATATATCAAATTAAAGCACATTTTGACCTTTAAAAAATGGTATATAATATGTGTAGTTGCAATGAACGTGGGAGATGTAAATTATGGTTAAACAAACACAGCAAAAATTGCAAGATTGCTCCATTCCCCAGGAACTAAAAATGTTTCTGAAGCTGTGTCACTAAGGGGTTAAAGACCCTGCAGGTACAGAACAAAACCTGTTGATGTGCCAGAAATACACCCGTCTCTTAATTTTATATCGTGGGCTGAAAACACACAGCATTTTTGTGGATTGAGTGGCGTCAGCCCTACCCATTGTCTTTTGCTAAATTAACCATCACCCCCCACTGTCTTCTTATCCACAGCATAGGGACTTATTGACTTGTAGTCCAAGATAAGAACAAGGAGGGTTAAATAGTCTGTTTGAGATAACAACTTTGCATTTCTGATATATAAGATCAACGATATTGTTTTGCACTTATTAAACAGATATAACGAAATGCTTTAAGTGGTATATTTAACAAACCAAACACAGGCAAATAAAAGAAGTCCTTTGTTAGGCTTTATGTACATTTTAGGTAAACTGAGCAGATTTTCTAACTCTTTGCCATGTTTCTTGGAAGCCAGTTCCATGATTTCAATATCAATTGTTGCCTGTAATTGCTCTTTAATGTAAACTTAAAACACACAATTCCGAATAAAATACATTGGAGTTAATTCACAAAGAGAACAGTTATTTGCTCTAGTTTTACCTCTCCTTATTTTGTGTTTGAAAACATGGTAGCCACAAAAGTCCCAATTGTTATGTATCATGCTCGTTAAGGCTCCCGTTTGAAGCATTAGGGAGTTGTTATGTTTACGTGTTCGATATTATTTTAGTAACTGAAGCGTAATGTTTACCCCTTAAGATTTATGTTTACGTCTTGAATTGTAGAATTAACGTTTAGGGCCGGTTCACACCACAAACTCCGCGTTCGGCCTCTGGAATGCACTGGAACGCAAGCCGGCCGGCTCCCTGCATTCAGGGGCGGTGCACTGAAGTCAATGGCACAGCAGCCACGCCTTCCCACCCGCAGTGCGATTGCCCGCTCCCGGAACACAGGCACATTACTTCAATGTACCACCACGCCCTCTCCCTCCCCTGAACGCAGGGAACTGGCCGGCTTGCATTCCAGTGCGTTCCAAAGGCAGAACGCACTGGAACGTAGAGTTTGTGGTGTGAACTGGCCCTTAAGGTGTTAAAATATGTTTGACTGATGCATTCTGGGACAAGAGGTGGAGGAGAACAGTGCCTACAAATGAGGTGTTCTCAACAGACTGCACTGTTGTATGTAAACAACTTTATTAAAACTGTTGCAGTTTACATGTTCACAAAATACAACATGACAACCAGAAAAAAAAATACAATAATGAAAATATTAAAATGATCTATCTATCTATCTATCTATCTATCTATCTATCTATCTATCTATCTATCTATCTATCTATCTATATCTCACACAATAATATTATCTAATAAAACAAGAGGCTTCACTACCAGAATTTATCAATTCACCTCATGAATCTCCCTCTCAGAGCAGAAAATAACGCCCGCAAACTGTCATAACGATACTCTGAAGGAGGTGCTTATATAACAATTGTCTAACGGTCGATAAATGGCCACAACATCTTTGTGAATTACACTTCTGTACATATTTTACGATTAGGCTTGTTAAAATGAGGATTGAATAGTTACATAACGAGATTCACAATAAAATATCACTTCAGAGAAGAGAGATGTTAATTTGTCAATTTCCCAAGCGTTAAATAGTTTGGTGAATTGCACAAGCCTAAATATCATGTGATATCTAATAAATAACAAGTGAAATCAGGAAAAAAAGCTTTGTGAATTGACCCCCCTGTGTAAGTAACTCTGAAAAGTGTTTTTCTTTCTGTTGCAGAAACTGGTGCTAGAGAATATGGATGTGCTAGTACAAATCAGATCCAACTTCAGCAATGTGGAGCTGATGCCATCACTGAAATCCAAGCTGACCTGTAAGTGACTTTCATATTTGGATGTTCCCGGCAGCAAGGGGCTTGGCACAACAGATGTTCCTTTACTTTGCTGTTCTTTAGCTGACAGAACTACCATTTTGCTATTATTTAATGGTCCCAGCATATACTATCTTGTATAACATCAGCATTGTTATAGGAACACATACTAGAGTTGTTTTTCATAATGCAATCAAAGCTTACTTGAAAAAATCCCTTTTATGTAGTGAGAACTGCCTTCTGTCTGCCCATCACTTTCATCAACTTCCTGGATTCCCAGTGTGCTTTGTGCTCCTTTCCCTGCTGCTTCATGTGATGTAATCACCATTTCTCAAGACTACGTAGCCCATAATGCATTGCTTCCAGCAACCAATGATAATGTTACATTGTTCAGACATTTAGCTTTAGTTCAGAAGGCAGGCTCTGTGAGAGTTGTACAAGGAAGTGCTTATTCACAGGGCTGAGTGAAACTGTGTCAGTGCATTGAGGAAGTTCATCCTATTGACATCTTCAATAAGTAAGTTTAGAAACTTCTAGATCGATATGGTTATTAGGAGTAGGCTAGAACTTATGGAAATTCAGCATAGGAATACTGATTTTTTTGTTTTGTTTGCCCATAGATAACCCTTTGGCACCCGTAAACACCCATAGAACTTTTAAGACAATTGTATACCATTTTTATTTCATTTTTTTTAGAACTTTTTAAAAAATGGTATACCATTTTTATTCCTTGCAGCACTCACAAATTATTATATGGACTTTTTAAAATGATATAATGACTACATAGGCACATACTGACTAATCATGTCGGCTTCAGATCTAACTTAGCTTGTCAGAGTTTTTTTATTGAATCATATATGGCCTGTGCCCACACTTGCACCTTGTATTCCATTGCTGTACCTGGTAGACTGCAATGCAGTTTAGCCAGAGAAAGGTATTTTTATTTCATGCATATTAGATTTCCAGACGTTGAAAGGTAGACCGAAGGCTTTCTGTAAGTTTGGAGAAACAGTTTTCAGATATGCTTTCTATGTGAAGGGTTTTAGCTGGTTCTCTAGGATAGGGTAGGGGAGATACAAGTTCAATATGTTACACATACATACGACATTGTGATATCTTAAAAATTTGTGATATTATTTTTGATATCACTGAATTGTGATGTTTAATATACATTTATGTTATGGTATTGTGATATTTGGTCAACTTTTAAATTCACAGACTTTTCTCTCCTCAGCTCCAGAAAGCTTGCTGAAAAGGATGACCATTATTGGAGTGATCTTGTCTTTCCGTTCACTGGCCCTGGAAGGACTTAGAGAGGTAAATAGGAAAATGGAGACAAGTATCTAAAACTGTTTTTGGCAGTCATAATTTGTTAAAAAAGGCCACCAGTTTTTTACCTGTAGAAAAGAGGAAAGCTCCTCTACTGTTAGAATGATACAATATAGCAAGGTGCACTCTGTTCAGACTCCTTGATTTTGCCATTATGCAGCTCCGGCCTGTAAAATCAACTAGAAACAATGGAGGGATTTACTAAAACTGGAGGCGACAGAAAATGGGGAAGCTATGCAAATTAACCAATCAGCTTGTTCAGATAACCTTTGAAAGTGGAGCTAAAAGCTGATTGGTTGCCATGTACAGCTGCTCCAGATTCTCCTTAATGTTTCCAAGACGGGAGGTGCACTGTACTGAAAATGTACTGTGGCTCAAAGTGCCATTCTGCACCATCCCACCTGTGAAGCGGATCTCATCTTTCTTCCGGAGAGTGGAAAACCCCTTTAATTGCTTAATCAGCAGCAGGAGCCTTGAGTAACGTTGTGTTCGACACTTACCAATACATGCGCTTTATGTCAATTGCAAATGGATGTCAAACTTATGTATAGTACAAAGGTTGTTCATTGTGGAAAAACATTTATTTTGCAAATGATCTGTACTGTGAAAAAGTATATTTTTGGACAAAATCAGAGTTTTAATGTGTATTTATAAATTATGAATTACAGTGTAATCGTTTCATTCAGATTTATTGTTTTTCAGGTATTTACCAACCACTGCCCATACTTGATGAGCCCTATTGAATTTTTAAAGGATTTTGTTACCCCTGATCTTGACATTCAGGTATGTTACTCCTAGTTTTTTTGCATTATTTTTGTGTTTGGAAACACATAAATGTATTTAATTGTATTCTGCAGTTTTTCCAATTTCACTAGCCTAAAATCTCTTACCTTGCAAGCAGCATGTCAAACTACAGTCCTGTATCAAACTTTATTGCATACGATTGCAAAGGCTCCTTCCACTAATGCATTTAAAGCTTAGTCGTAGAGGGACTCTTAACCCCTTAGTGATACAGCTTCAGAGAATGATTTAGCTCCTGAGGACCGGAACAATTTTGCCATTTTTGCTATGTGTTTGTTTACCATAATTTCCATCTTCCTTATTCATTGCACCTACACATATTATATACAGTTTTTTTAAGCACAAAATTGGCTTTAATTTGATGTGACATATGCATATGTAAATTCTTATTTTTTTTATAAACAAAATACAAAAAACTGACCAGTGCTTATTTCCCCACATGATGGAATTAATCACTCATCGGTCTTTAACCATTTGAAAATTTTTGATGGAATAATTCCGTCATCGGTTGGGAATAAAATGTATGCGGCATGAGGCTCATAAGTTAGTTAATACAGATTCTTGAACTGTATTACTGGTTAGCCTTGTTGTAAAATGTTTTACCTACCTGTTATCATGGCATTGCTATTCTTGTCTTTAAATACATTTTGGTCAAAGTGTTGATATTGTAACCTGGCCACAAGGCTACAGGGTACTTGTTAACTTACCACACTTCTTAACTCTCCACTTATTAATTTCTTAATAAATAAAGCCATAAAGGAAATGTTTCTACATTGCACCAGTTTGTGCAGTACATGCTGGGCTTGCTAGTAAGAAAGCCCAGCACTGATTGTCTGATTGTGCACTTGCTGACTGCTCCTGCAGACTAATCAAGACATCACTGTGGGGTGGAGGTGTGACACTTCCCCTTATTTAGCTGTATTTGTAACATTAGAGCCTGTTATTTATGTTTATACAGCAGATTAGTTATCCAGCTATCTAAAAGCTGCAAAAGGAGGAAAAATAAATATTTACATTTAATATTTCATATTTACCTGTCTAAATGTTTTTGATATCCTGAATATAATAAAGAAACATGCAAACATTATATATGCTGATTTGTAAAAATTGAAAGAACTGTCTAATAGAGCTGTTCCCGCTAACAACGGATTAGTATGTATCATCTTATAATGCAGATTATGGAATGGTAGCACGTTATTTTTGGTTTGTCCGTGTGTTAGCTCTATAGTGCTGAAAAAGAGAACACTAGTGTAGGTCACAATGAAGGAAGCCTACTACGTAGAGGCACTTTAGATATTGCAGTTGGACCTGGGACAAGCATGGAGGGTGTAGGTGGGGTGGGGAGTCTAACTACTATAACAAAATTCTTCATGATATTATTACCTGGACTTTTCAGCCAGCTCACCAATGTAATGACAACTTACTTGATGTGACCTTCAGGAACTCTGCCTTCTCTGTATCATATGTTCTCTGCTATTTCACACTATATTTATTTATATGACTTGCTGAAGCTGAATAACCTTGGAGATCAATTCAAGCAAACAGAAAGGTAGATTGATGTGAAGTACAGAAGGAAAGGCACACATCTACACTGTGATTGACGGACACAGGCGGATGCAAAAGCACTCTGTGTGCCATTATTTATCACAAAATTATATAAAAAAACAATGAAAAGCAGATTCTTGTGAACACTCTCTATACACTTCACCTGTCTTCTCTAGTGGTTGCTAATGATCACATTTTGCTGTGACCATCCACTATTGATTGCACAGAATTGGAGCATTTTATGATCATGCACGACCATTCACAGATGATTGTGGTAAATAAAACTGGCTAGCTATTGGTTTGAAAGTGTTGTGTTGTTTGGCTTTATGACAGCAATTTGTACAGCCTCAGGAGCTCTCATTGCTGCCCTGTGCCTGAACACTGATGATAGATATCTGCGTATTGCGCTGTAATCCAAACAGACACCCATAAGATGCACACACTTTCCATTATGACCAGTTATCTTTATTGGGCATATGCAAACAAATGCAAATTTAGCTTTTTTCCAATTCAACCAATAGTCAGATTTTTCAGTGTACTTATTTGACACTTCAACTATGTATTCCCTATTTAGTCCAACCTTTCTTTAAGTGTTTGTTAAACCAACCCTTTTTGTTTTGGATAGAATTTGGAAGGGTTAGACATTTTCTGGCTTCCGGGAGAGATTCACCCTCACTATTGGTTGGAGTGATCTGACCATTCTCTGCAATGAAATCTTCCAATGGGGACAACTGTTCTGAAAGCAGCTATCTTAGAGGGGATACTCCTAGCTTTGAAGAGCTCTTTTCTTACTTTATGCTTATTTTGTAGGGCAGGAAGTGGAAGGAAATCACCTTTTATACCCATTTTTTTTGTAAAGTGCAAAAGATAAGGTTGCATTGCATATAGGCATTCAGATCCTGCTTCTCACTCATACCACAGGGCTCATAGCCAGACGTCTTCCATCCCCCCCCCCAAAAAACCCTTCTGCATGAAGGCGCAACCCTGCTTCTTCAAGTCGAGAGGCTGTTGGTTTATTCAGTTGGGTCCCTGGGCATTGTATCTCCACAGCATTTAGGCCTTGCTTGGAGATGGTTTCTTCTAGGTCTACAGCTGGCAGTTTTGGTTCACTGGTGGGCGGGAGGGTTGGGAGAAGTAGGCTTTTGCTCTTTTTTACTTGTAAAGGAAATTAGCCCTTCCTCCCCTTTGGGGCTTGTGGGGTATCTATGGATTCTTTTCTACTATTGTCTCCCCTTCTCTTGTGGGCTTCCAGTCACCTTCAGCCTACCCTTCCATGTCAGGGTGTCTGGGCTCTAGAAGAGACATCCAGATGATTCCCTTGGTCACAACATCCTGGATGATACTTTACAGCCTCTGGCTGGGGATGGAGTAGTCCCTGGCTAAGTATTCTCTGTGGTGTGTCTTCATGCCTGGGGCTTTTATTTGGTTTACCAGAATAGACTGTTCCTGCCTCGTCGGGGGATCCTTCTGTGAGTCTGCATATTGACCTGATGTCCATTGGGCATCTCTTGAGTGTTACAGGGCTTTCTCCTCTGGGACAGTTTGCAATCTCTCTCATGGATGGCATTGAGTGTGTTCCTATTGACCACATTTATTTTCTTGGTGACAATATTTCACCTTTTGGATTTTCTCAGCTGATGACCTCCCCATCAAGATGTGAGAGTTCAGCACCTGTGTGCCCCTCTTTTCCTGCTTAGCAGAAAGTATTTATCTTTGGATGGCCCCTGGACTGTCCAAAGGCAAGATGCGTTAGGATTGTACTGCAAGTACCCTCTGTGGTAATTTTTGTTCTTAGCATAAAATATTTTTCTTGTAGTCCATTGAGGGACACAGGTCCCACCCCTCTGTTTTTCTCAGGACCTTTATATTGCTTTCTCAGAAAACTGAAGAATGCTGAGAAGAGGAGGGGTTATACAAGGGCTGTGCCAACCTCCTTTAGGCGGCAGTATAACCTGACTACAATAAAATATATGTGTCCCTCAATGGACTACAAAACAGATTTTAAAGTACATGAATATATATTTTTTTAAATATTGTTTTTTTTAAATTTCTAAGCCTAAAAAATGTGCTGAATCACTACATATTCCCCATACAGCATGACATTCTTTTTTCGTACATTTCAATAGTAATGCAAATAGCTTTTTGGGTGTAAAAATCATGTTAGCTTATCTATGATCTAAACCGGGAATCCTGTGGACCCTGCTCTTTAAAAGTGACCCTGTTGCCATTTTGGAAAAAAAACAAAAAACTGCAATAGAATAGCAGTAACAAAACATTTACAAAACATTTACCTGTTTCCCTGCCCGTTACTAGAGCCATGACCTCCAACAGAATCTTGACATCTGGCAAATACAGATGTGTTGGATGTCATTACTGTGTCTCAGAGTTCCTGTCTGGTACATGAGTGCCAGGGCCCCATCCAGGTGTTAATATATCAGCAGGTTTCATTGTAACTGATACAAATAGCATAATTTATGAATATGAACAAATAACTCAATACAGCAAGGTAAAGTATTAAAGTTTTTCATTATAAAATGTTAAACACTCTTGTCCTCAACACTAAAGACAGCAGAAAAAAATACTGCTACTGGCTTATCATTTAAAACGTACCTAGACTCAAGAACATTTCCTACATCTCGCCTCATTTACCATACTGATTCTAATGCAACACATGACATTATTAGTATCACCATCATAGTTCATTAGGACAAAGCCTTGATTAAATATGGTTGCTGTCTATCTGGATTGTAGGATGCAAAATGCAGGACCAATGAACTGGCAAATATCAGTTGAAAGTAACTGGAATAGATGGAGCAGCTTGTGCTTATAAAGGGAAGAAAATGTGGGCTTAGGAATGGAGGCGTCATTCCATCTAAAGCGCTACAATGCCTCTGGGCTCCAGGATCAGGAACAGAGCTTATGAGTCCAAGAAAACAAGTATGTTTTCTCTTTATCAGTCATTAACCCTGGAGTCCCTCACCATGTGTAGGTGAGAAACCTAGGTGACACATACACCATGTACAATTCTGCCAGCCATTGCCTCACAATATATTTGTATATTTAATGTGGACCAATGGACATGCATAGCTAAATCTCAAAAACTGCTTTGAGCAGCACATTTGCTTTGCAATGGAGCAGTACTTTGGCTTAATAGTTAACTCTGTGTCTTGCATCACTTTGGTCTTGGGTTCCTCCTTAGGACACGCTGCACAGAGTTTGTATATTTGCATAGGTTTCCTTCAAGTGCTCTGGTCTGATCCCTCAATATAAATATACAGTGATTTCTTACAACTCAACCACTGCACATCATGTTTTGGTTTTAGGTAGTATAGGGTTTTTGCTGTTTGATGATAACCTGACAGAGCATTTTATTCTTCTCCCATTCTTTACAAAACTAAAGTAAAAAACATTTCCCTGAAGATGGGCTTTAACCAGTT